AATGATTTATATCTCGTTTTGTCTAAGCATTTATGCTAATAAATTTAACAGATTCCCCAGTACTGCTGGGTCCCTCGTTTTCTTCAGGGGGTCAAAGTGAGAGGAAAATAAAGCAGTGTGTTACTAAAGAAAGAAGAAAGAAATTGGCCCAACCAATTTAAAACACAAATAAAATTGCAACACAAATAAAATCTCTGATTATGAAGCAACAGTCAAAGAAGTTCCTAGATCCACATAGATTTCTGTAATTGAGCTATTTCTCAAAGGCAGAATAACAAAAGTGACAATATTCAGCAAACTAATTTACTGAAGAATATTTCGGTCCTATATAATTAAATCCAACACCGAGGAGAAACTGACAACTATTAAATTGAGTGCAGTTGGAGAGGGAAAGGGGATAAGATAAAATCCAGTCTATAAAATATGTTCCATTATCTTTTATAGGTTAAAAACACACACAAAAAAATACTTGGAAAGAGTTTTCTAAGATGGAAAGATTTTAAGATTGTGTGGGTATTTTTTTTTTTTTTTTACAGGTGCAGAATAAGCTGGGTGGTTTGTTTTTTTCTCTTGGTTTTTTCTTTTTCCTATTTTTCCCCCTGTTGTTTGCAAAGTTGAATCTGGGGTCAGGAGTTCTAATTGTAACCTCAGACTGGAATTCCAGATGGTGCGCTCAGGACTGGAAGCAACTCTCAGTTCATCAATTTCATGGGCCTAAGTATCTGCTCTGGCCACGGCCCGGCCTCCATCCCCACTGTGGCATTAATGCAGAACAAATTGAGACATATCCTCTATATAATTAGTTCCAGAATTTAAAAAGATTTAAGGTATAAGAATAGAGGCAGCGCTGCTGAATCTTTTCACTGGGGACTCTCTGGGAGCTCGGGGACCATCTTACGGTGGTATCGGAACAGACGGGTACACTGTGAGCTGGGGTGAAGGGGAATTTTGCACTGCGCACCCAGCCGTGGGTGCGGATCCAGAGCTCTCAAACCAATTGGATCAGAGAATTGAATTTTAAATGCCGATAGGGGAATTGATTTTAAAAAAGAAAAGAAAATAGAATTACTGTTCAAATTAACAGAGGAAGCAGGGTGGGGAGCTGCGGGTGGACTATAACGAAAGACCCTCCCTTACTTATTCTTGTTTTCAGTATAAATTAGTGTGATTTCTACCGCCAGCTTGGATTTGGAAAACAGCCATTTTAAATGCCTGCCCGTCGGCCCGGGGTAGGCAGATTCCTGAACTGGAGTCGGGGGGCAGAGAGGATTTGCGGTCAGGCTGCTGATGCTGCGCGTGGAACTCTGGGCGCGGGCCCTTGCGCCGGGCGCCAATAAAGCAGGCGATCCCAGCCCTTGACAGATCGCAGCGCTTCGTGGTGTTTATTCAGTTGTCCGCAGCCGCGCGGGGTGACGCCCAGAGCGCAGCCCGAGAGTACTCCCTGGTCCCTGGGACCGCGGTTGCAGGCTCGGCTCAGGGCTTGGGCTGCCGCAGTTGACAGCTCCAGGGTCAAAGTGGAGGGTTTATAGGTCCTCACCGCCCCCTCCCGTTAGGTCACAATTTTTTGATCTTGCAATAATTAAGCACTTTTCAGGCACCTCTCTCCCCTACGCCTTCCTTTTCTTTCTTTCTTTCTTTTTTAAAAAAATTCTCATACCATTAACTCTGGAGAAACAGGGGATGGTGGGGGGTAAAGTCCGCTGTGGACGTCGGGAGACCTGGGTTTCAGCTCTGCTTTGCCACTAACTGGCTACGTGTCCTTGAACAACAGTTACAAAAATTGTAACGTTTATTGTGTACAAGGCCAACACTATCTTCCTGTCTACTCTTCACGACCCATGAGGTTAGGCGCTAGCATCGAGTTATCTCGTTTGACCAATTAGGAAACTGAGGCTCAGAGAGGCTGTGACAATCGTCTAGGCTCACACAGCTGTTGGTTACCTGGAAGAGCTGATATTCCATTCTCTGGCTACCAATCCCTTGCTCTTAACCATTGCTCTCTACAGCTGCCTTTCCTCCTTCCGTCTGGGTCTCAGTTTCCTTCTCTGCGGAAGGAGTTGAATTTACATCTCTGCCAATCGGTGGTGCAAACAAGATCCTCTGCGCCACAGGTCTCATCGCTGACGGGGGTGGAAAGGTGGGTGAGAGAAGGGAGAGACCAGGTCTTCGCAGCCCTTATTTCCCCGGGATCTCGGACAAGCCTCGACCCACAGGAGGTGCAGCAGAGCGCAAGGTGGCCCTTCGTCTGGGCCAGACTATTTGCCCTGCCCCCCGCCCCTCCCGCCCAGGGCCTCAAGGGCAGCGTGGCAGGCCCGGCCACCGGGTAACCACAGCTCCCGCAGAGAACGTTACCCAGGGGTGGGAGAAGTGGAGAGCATGGGCACCTGCAAATCCAGTAGTTTGCCGGTTCCCCAGCTTTGGCCCTGAGGTGCCTGGGCTCCTGGGCATGGGGATGGGCAAAGGCATTCTGACTCCAGACGCGCACAGCACTTTTTTGGCCTCGCCGTTTGGGTCTACGTGGTCAGGCGAGGTGGCATTCTAAGGTTGAAATGAGATCACACCACAATTGGTTCAACTCCCCTTTCCTCCCACCCAACCCCACCCCATTCCTGGGCAAAACTTTTTTTTTTTTTTAATGTAAAGGCGGAGAGTTAAGCGCCTTTGCCCAACCTGTGATTCAAAAACACAAACGCTATCCTCTTCAAAATACTCCCCCCAAAGTTGCAAAGGAGAATAAAAGAGAAACAAATGTTTGACCTTTTCGTTGGAAATTGAAATTCCTGGCTTTTCTTAAAGGGTTCACCTTCCCTTGTAGAGCTTGGGTGAGTCCTAGTTAAGAAAAAACGATTTCGAAGTAGCAATAAAAGTGTGTGTTTGGGGGAGGGAGGGTTGGTTGAGAAAGAGGTCTGATGCGTTATAGGAGCAACTAGGTCTCAGAACTTTTGTCTCGCCGGGTCTTTCTCCACCAAAAAGACCAAACATACATGCCCTCTGGCTGGCAGGCTAAGAGATGGGGCTTTTGGAAGGCGAGTTGGGGGCCTACGGGGGGTGGGGTGGGGGGGGGGGAAGAAGCTGGCCTCTAGAGCCAAAGTCAGACGCTAGGGTAGGACTGAGAGGTGTCCACGACCACGATAGTGGCCAGGGAGCAAGCGGGCGGCGCGTGTCCCGGACCTTTGCCTTCACGGTCTCAGCGCCTCCAGGACCAGCGACCCCAAGAGGAGGGAATTGTGCCCCGCGTGTAGATCCTGAGCCCGCATATGCTTGGAGTCCGCAGCCAGAACCCTTGGCTACTTCGTTTACTCAGTGCAAATTAACTGAAGCCGAAGCGTCAGAAATGGACAGGCTTTTAAAACGTTCGGTTTCTTCGTAAAACTCCCACTGCCTTGACTGTCGCTTCACGTGGGATTGGCTGGAAAGCTGCGGGGCCCATCTCCGACCCGCCTGGTGTAAGAGGCCTGGCAGCAACCCGCGGCTTCCTGCCCGGAGCTGCTGTCTGTCCCAGGCTGCGCCCTCCCCGCTGCCTCCTAGCTCCCCCGGCGTTTCCAAGCGCCCCTGAAACGCACTCTAACCAGGGTTCCCGGCGCTTCTCCCTGCCTCGCGTCAGTTCCCCACAGATGTTGACTCAATTTGGAAACAAAATCTCAAACACCTGCTCTGAGAGGGCCTCCCAAAGAGTGACTAGGTGGAGGGAGGAGTCTGATTGGGCGATGCCAGGCTCTCAGAACTCCCCACGTTCGAACACTGCCTTGGACCGTGGGTCTCCGGTGGCTCCTAACTGATTGCGAATGTGGAAAGCAGAGATCTGCGGGGAGCGGCTCCAGAAACCCACCACCCCAACCCTGCTCATTCCCCACCCCAACCCCCAAACTGGGCGCTAGGAATCTCCGGCAGGAATATATGCAGGCTCTGGACGTTTCCTTAAGAGTTTTCTTCCTTCCCAAACTAGCCATTGTTTCCCCGGATTCACCATAGAAGAGTTAGATACTCCAGGCTGTAAAAGGAGGTTACATGCCGCTGACACCGATTTTAGGTACGCGGCAACCTCACCAAGTCACCAATTACCAGACATTGAAAATATGCCCCCGTTTATCACAAACTGAAGCAACCCCTCCAGGTCATCCACGTTTCCCTTAAGTCTGATCTCCAGAACCCACAAGGGGTCCCTCCCCTCTCCCCTCCCCGAGATTATGGCCTCCACTCCAGCCCGACGGCTCTAAGAGAGAGAGAGACGGACTCCTGCTAGAGCAGCAAGAGAATCCGCCTCTTTGGAGTCCCGGAAAGTTCTCATCTCTTTCCAGAAGTTCCCGCCCTCGTGGAGCCCCCAGCCCCTCCCTCCAACCCGCCCTCTTAGATGAACAACCCCATCCCTACCCCCATCACACGTATTTGCAGAGGGGACATTCGCTGCTCACCTGGAGGGACTCGCCAGTGCCCGGGGACGTCCACACTTGCGAAGGCCAAGAAGGGGAGGGTGGGGGTGGGGTGTCCCACAGGCCTCCTGAGAGACTGGGCAGGTAGGAGAGGAGGGTGTCTCCGAGAGGAGCTCTCCCACAAGCCCGCCCCCCACCCTCACTGCGAGGGCGCCCCCGAGGAGTCGCGCGCGATGCCTGAACCGGCTTGGACTGCAGTGTGAATGGAGCGGCCGAGACTCCTGGCTCCTCCTCCTCCCAAGCCGCCGGCCCCACTTATTTGAGCTTTGGGAAGCTGGGGGCAGCCAGGCAGCTTGGATAAGGAGTTCAAGGCAGCGCCCACACCCGGGGGTTCTCTGAAACCCGACCGCCGGTCCGCTCCCCTCTTCCCGCCCTCCCTCCCACTCATTCACCCACCGACCTACCCACCCACCCAGGGCCAGGACTGCAGCCCAGGAGCCGGGGCCCCGCCGCCCCCTCACCGCGATCCTGGACTTTCTCCTGCCACCGGAGCCGGCTCCCACGTGTGTCCTCGAGCCGGCGTCTTCGCACACGCTCCGCTCTGGACCTGGGTGTCTTCAGCAGCCTGAGCATTTGGGGATCCGGGGCCCGGGTGGCATCTGGGCCAAGTTAGGCGTGGCCGAGTCCAGCACCGAACGTCTGCAAGACCGGAGGAGCCGCGGCGCGTCCGGGGCAGAGCTGCCGCAAATGGGCTCCGATTTGCGGGACCTGAACGCGCTGCTACCAGCGGTGCCTTCGCTCGGTGGCGGCGGCGGCTGCGCCCTGCCCGTGAGCGGCGCTGCGCAGTGGGCACCGGTGCTGGACTTTGCGCCCCCGGGCGCGTCGGCATACAGTTCGTTGGGCGGGCCGGCCCCTCCGCCGGCTCCGCCACCACCCCCGCCGCCGCCGCCTCACTCCTTCATCAAACAGGAGCCGAGCTGGGGCGGTGCGGAGCCGCACGAAGAGCAGTGCTTGAGCGCCTTCACCGTCCACTTCTCCGGCCAGTTCACCGGCACAGCTGGAGCCTGTCGCTACGGACCCTTCGGTCCTCCCCCGCCCAGCCAGGCGTCCTCCGGCCAGGCCAGGATGTTCCCCAACGCGCCCTACCTGCCCAGCTGCCTCGAGAGCCAGCCCGCGATTCGCAACCAGGGTAAGCAGGCCGGGGAGCGCCCCCTACACTTGGGGCGGTGGCGAGGGGGCTGTCGTCGAGCGCGGGTAGTCCTCTGTCCAGCCCCTTCCCTGACCCCAGCTCTTACCAGCTGCCTCCCCAAAGACTCTGAGGGTAGCGGAAGCAGCAGCTGGGGGAGCAGAGGTCCAGGAGAGGGAATTCGCGCCGGTTTGGGCTCCTGACATCCTTGGGAAACGGGCTGTTCGCATGAGCCGGGAGGTCATCTGCGGCCCCCACGACCCCTGAAGATTCCGGGGCTGCGAGTCCCTTTGGGAGTGGGAAGGGGCTGCAGCCTCTGGCTGCGCCTCGGAAGAGGTTTTGTCGCTCCAGGCACCACCAAACTGTCACCTGGCATTGGACTTTTCAGACATTAGACTGGATTCCAGAGTGGGACCAGCACTGGATGAGCATCCGGTGCTTGCCTCCTCCAAAATGCCCAGGAATTGCTCTAGTCCTTAACACCGAGTTGGCACTTCAGACGCACAATAGGTGTCATGGAGCTCGAGAATGAATAAGGGAAAGGACTAGCAACTAACCGGTGGCTTTCCTGGAACTTCGTCATTGTCTGCGTATGGCTCCCGCATATGCTAGTTAGTGTGGAAGCGGATCTCTCCTTGGTTCCAGCTCAGGTGGCGGCCACGAGCTAGGGCTCCAGGGCTAGGAAACCCCGTTTGTCCCATTCCGAGCTGTGCGGAACCGGGTCCTACCATAGGGAATGAGATGAGGCCCGAGCTTCGGTCGCCTCTTCGTCAATGAACGCGGCGCTTAGCCAGGGGAGATTTTTGCAAGACTTGAGGGTTGTAACAAGGACCAGGTTTGCTTGCTGTTTTCAGTCATTGTACATTGAGGGGCACAGAGGTAGTTTTCTCGCCCCGCACAGGCGCCCGCCCATGTCTTTCTCCCCCCCCCGCCAGCGCTGAATCAATTGGGCCCGGCCGGCCCTTGCAGTTTGGTTTCTAAATTTATTTTAATTGTTGTTTGTTATTTTTGCACTGTTTGAGAACCTAAACCAATTCGGGTGGATTCGATATTTTAGGAAATACTTTACAAACGCAATGGCGAGTGCTTTTCCTGGAGCAAAATTTCCCGCTGGGTTTAGAGACTGGGATGTTTCTGGAATGCGTGGGGTGCTAGAAGCAGAGTGTGTACTGTTTGCATGAGGTGCTGGCTCCCAAGGCAGAAGAAGGGCTCTGTCCTTATCTCTAGGAGGTCTCTTCTTTCAGTAGCCCAGCCGGGAGCACCTGGCCAAAGTGAAACAGTCCTCCTCTCTTCCTCAGGGGAATCTGTGATCCTTGACCCTTGGGGGTCCTCCGCTTTAGCTATTTCAGAAATGAAATTAGTGTTTTGGACTCACAGGGTGTTGGAATAACTCAGCGTCCCTCTTAGAGGCTCCTATTCTCCACCCGTTTGCCACCTCTATTTAGCAGGCTGGTGTTACCTTTGGCAAATCCACAGGTCTCAGTTTCCCCATCTGTAAGAGAGGAGTTGAGATGGACAACCTGGGAATTGGGTCTGGCCTGATGATCTGTGCAGAAGCCTGATTTTACCTGGGCTAGGGCTTCTAAACACAGAAGGTGGAACAGCCCACCTAACACTTGACTGGTCTGTTCTCCGCAAGACTGGCAGGCAAGTGTGTGATATGAATTGAGTTCCTGTGTAGATGTGTGCTATGTGGAGCGGCCTGAGAATCCACTGATTTAAGTCTCCCAACAGCAAAATGCTATTGCACCATGATCATTGAGTCCATCTAGGTACTGTGAGGATTTTTGGAATTTGGGCTCTGTTGCTTTGTTTGGGCCCTTGTCCAGCCTTCTGCAGGGCAGGTCTGTTGCCCAGGATCCCATCCACTCAGCATGGGATGGGGAGGCCAAGAGCCCTGGTACTAGGCAGGCTGCCAAAAGAAAAAGGTTTGGGAACACACCACTGACTAGAAGGTGAAGGAGGTCCCTCTCCCCACCCTGAGGAAAAGCCCCGTGGAGAGTTGGCCCCAGACCTGGACCACAGCCTGTAAGCTCAGTTCTGTCCTTGGGCTTAGGTTTTTCTCTTACAGTGAAAACATAGATAGGTCACTGGCTGACCTCTTGGGACTCATTTGGCAGCTGGGAGCTGGGGTGAGATGTCAGAAGCTGTTCCAGCTTCAGTCCTGATGTTGAGTCCTGAGGCCTGGAGATTCTGGATTTATTCTCTTGACTTCCGGGGTTTCTGTGGCACTTCCAGGAATGTAGGGCCTAGTAAGAGGTTTGGGCTGAGGGAAGCAAGGGCATCAGTTCCTTCCCCAAAGTGTAGGAATGGCATCAGCAGGCCCAGGCCAAACTCCAACGGAGAGTAAAGACCTGGATCCCGGTCCCCAAATAGGGCAGCCTAACCATGGTCCTCAAGAGAGGAGGATTGCTGGCAGCCTCTCACCTCCTCTCCACCCGTTTTTGTCTATTTCTTAAATATACTTTTCCTATTTCTTTTTTAAAAAATATTTTTTATTGATTTTTTACAGAGAGGAAGGGAGAGGGATAGTTAGAAACACTGATGAGAGAGAAGGGTATGTGCCCACAACCAAGGTACATGCCCTTGACCGGAATCGAACCTGGGACCTTTTAGTCCGCAGGCCGAGGCTCTATCCACTGAGTCAAACCAGTTAGGGCTACTTTTCCTATTTCTTAAAAATAGTTATACCTGATGTCCTAACCTTACTTCTGAACATTAGTTCAGCAAACATTTACTGAGCACCTACTCTATGCCAATGCCAGGCACTGGAAATTGAATATTAAGACCATGCGCCTCAACTTTTGCCAGAATCTGACAGCCTGACATTGGAGGAGCCCTTATTTTTGGATAAGGAAATTTGGGTTCTAAGTGATTAGTTGTGGGTTGGTTTTAGCTCAAGCGGTCACTTCGTCATGGCAGACACTAAGGAATCAGTTGTGCAAGAGGTCTCAGTTTGTGGCAGAGCTGGGGCTCAAATTCAGACCATTCTAGGCTATTTCTACCTACTTTTTCAGAGATCTTGGCCCACTGTTGACATGAATTTCCTCTGTCCTGCTGGATGGGTGTGGGACCCACTGTAGTCAGTGTGTGAGGGTTGGGAGTTTTGCCAGGGCAGAAGTGGGGCAAGGACTTGGGTAGCCCCAGATTGAGTGTGGGGTTTGGGGAAGGGAAAAAAAGATTTTGTCAGGCCTATTCCTCAACCCCACTGGAGCGCCAAACTATAGCACAAGAGGAGGCCTTGGCATTACCAGCCACCCTAGGGGTCACTGGGGAGACCAGCTTGGCCCAAGGGGCACCCTCCTTGGGTCGCATTGGAAAAAGGGTATTTCGTTGTGGGACAGATTTCCCCGCATCCTGCAGCAGCTTCATCAATATCAGCCTTCTGACTGCCTGCTGTCCACTGCACCCCTCAGCTCCGGGATGTGGGGTGGGAGGCGCTGGCCAGACCAGGTAGTTACCCAGCTCCTCCGCTGCCTAGGGCGGAGGAGGATGGCACAGAGCATTCTTTCCTTTCCGCGCGGTCAAGGTTGCACTCTCTTCCGGGCTAAGACCAACCCTGGGAAAGGGGCTACCTTGGAATCTGGAGCGTCTTCCTCTAGGGTCCTTAGAAGTAGTACAAGGAGCCTTTGAACACGCTGCCCCTTTCTGCCGGCAGCTGTCTCCCCCGCCCCCGCGCTCCCCGCGCCAGATCCAGCGCGAAGCCTCAGGACAACGCGCTCTAATCAGTCCCGCGTCTGATAAGCTGCTAATTAAAAGAGCCCTCCCTCCCCTCGGCTCCAGCTTTCACCACCGCCCTTCCCCGGGGGAATTAAATAAAGGGGGTTGGAGGCCGGCTCCTGCCCACCAGCTTGTGCGTGTCCTGTCTGGGAGGGGCCCCAGGAGCCTCGCTGGGTGTGGAGGCGACGCAGGCCGGCCCGCAACCCGTTGCCCTTGCGGCTAATCTACATAGCTGAGCCCGCCTCGGAGGACAGCGCGGTGCCTCAGTCCACTGCTTACTCCGGCCCAGGAATGGAGAAGGGTTCGCGAAGAGGCAATTTCTTTGTCGCTTCGGTTTCTCCTTTATTTAAAGAAAATTTTTTTCCTTTAAAAATTCAGCCCTTCCCCTGCAAACTTCACTGCTCAGAGCCAAATTTCGTTTGTAAGCTGAGCGGTAGGCCTCTAACGGAGCCTGGCCTCCGCTCCCAAAAGGAAGTGCCCTGGAAGCCCAAGCGTGCTCACCCACGCCTGACAGCTAAGGGGCGGGGGTTATCTTTGTCCACTTAGCAGGCGAGAAATGGAGGCCTCTGGGGTCACACAAGTTATAGAATCTGGTGGCTTCTTAAGTTGTAGACCCGCGGCGCCAATTGGTGCAGGAGACCTGGCCTGATCTGTACAATCCTGTAATTAAGACCTGCCCAATCCTTCCTCCCACTCTGACACACCACATTCCCCGGTGGGCCCCTGGAAGCTCGGTTTCCGTTTGGGGGGGTGTGTGTTTCAAAGATGGGGGTAATGGCCTCCTTTCTCTGTCCAGCTTGTCTTCTGGGACACACGTTGCAGAGGGATCATGCCTGGGATAAGAGTGGGACAATGGGGACCATTTGACCCAGTGCAGTGGCTGGGGTTGGGGGAACTGGACCGGTGGTGGTCCTACAGGGAGCAGATAGGAGTGTCTGGGCCAATCTCATTCCTCACTTGATCTTGACCTCAGGCCAGAGGTTCCTGACATAGGAAGCCCCTACCATTGGGTTCGGGATCCTAAGGACTGATCCTTTTCTTAGCCATAGATACTTTTTCCCTTGAGGTGGCAACGGTTTTTCCAGAAGCTATTGGGGCCTATCTTTAAAGCAATTAGATAACAATAATCAATGAAGGAGGCTATATTTTCCAACTGAGACACCACAATTATTTTAATTCTTACCTTTGGAGAGTTGGGCAAGAACACGGACGGTGTTAGTTTCAATTTCCTTGCAGGGAAACTGAGGCAGAGTACTCATGCACTGTCGTGAGGGTGAGGTAGAGTGTCAGTGACACTAAAAGAAACAGGGTTTCTGGCCTGGGCACGAGAAAGTTGGTCCCCGCAGTGGTGGTCAGGGTCGGACCCACCGGAGCAGAGGTGGATCCATGCAGAAGGGAAGGAGGAGGAGGCAGGGCCAAGGCCTGTGGGCCCAACCGGAAGGGCCCCTTCTTTTCCTCCCCGCTAGCTTTCCCCAGGGCCTTAGGTGTCATGGTGTCAGGTCGCTCGGCCTCAGACAGATACCATTACTCGGTAATTACTCTCCCCATTTAAAGCCCATGCCGTTAACTGGCTCTGAGTAATTAATGAAAGTTGGTGCGGCCCCTGATTTACGGCTCGGAGTCAGCGCGGGGTCAGCCGAGCAGATTCATTTCGCTCGCCCGCGCTGCCCCTGCGCGAGAGCGGTGTCTGGTTTTGGGGAGAGCAACTTGCTTCGCCGAATGGTTGGCGGTTTTCATATTTCCTTGCGGGAGTTCGGTCCAGAAGCCGCAGTCGTGGTGGAAGGCAAGGGCATAAATAAACTGGGAAACGGTGGGGAGATCCGAATTTTACTTGGAATAGAGCAGAGAACGGCCCGGTCCCGAGGTCACCTCGGGGTCCTGGGCCCGTCTTCCCGCCCAAAGTCCTAGAGACGGGTGAGATCCCAAGGCGTGGCGGGGCGCTCCTCCGCAGCGGTTCTGGTTCGGACCCATGGACCCTTTTGACGCTGTGCTTCCCTCCGCCGCTCCCGCAGGATACAGCACAGTCACCTTTGACGGGACGCCCAACTATGGTCACACGCCGTCCCACCACGCGGCGCAGTTCCCCAACCACTCCTTCAAGCACGAGGACCCCATGGGCCAGCAGGGCTCGCTGGGTAAGCAGGCGGGGATGGGGAGGGGTCCTTCTCCCCTTCTTCCAGGCGACCCGGTCCGACAGACCCGTCCCGCCCGCCCCAATGAATTTCCAACCCACAGCACATTAGGAAGGGAGAAGAGGACATGTACAGGGATTTTGAGAAATAATTAGCCCAATCTCAATTTAAAAGATCGGTTCCGACCCCCAGGTATGTTAGGGACTCCACTCAACCAAGCCTAAGAAGGTCCCGAGAGTCTGCTGTGGCTTTGAAGGGAGTGGGAAGTGGGAAGCTCGGCTCAGTACGTCTGGACGCTCCGTCTTGGCCCGTCTAGCATCCAGGCTCCATTGCCCCCAGCTTAGCCTGGGGCCCCGGCTCAGGAGGCTCTCTCCCCCAGTCCCTGCCCGCCACCCGCACCCCGGAGACCTCTGGGCGCTCACTCTGCTTTCCGGCTCTCTGCAGGCGAGCAGCAGTACTCCGTGCCGCCCCCAGTCTACGGCTGCCACACCCCCACGGACAGCTGCACCGGCAGCCAGGCCCTGCTGCTGCGGACGCCCTACAGCAGGTAAGGAGGCGCTGGGCGCCGCGTCTGGGTTCCCGGGAGCCTAGGGCTCGGGAACATCGGATGCGGGGCGGCCCGGACTGCGGGAGGCAACCCAGCTACTTAAGGCAAATTGAAGCAGCTCTCCAGGCTCCAGTAGAGAGAAGTAGGTGTCCCCGTTTCCGTGCTCTTATTTTTTAATTATTTATATATATTATTGATTTTTTTTACAGAGAGGAAGGGAGAGGGAATAGAGTTAGAAACATCGATGAGAGAGAAACATCGATCAGCTGCCTCCTGCACACTCCCCAACTGCAGATGTGCCAGCAACCAAGGTACATGCCCTTGACCAGAATCGAACCTGGGACCCTTGAGTCCGCAGGCTGACGCTCTATCCACTGAGCCAAACCAGGTAGGGCTCCGTGCTCTTATTCTGAATATGAACGAGCGCGGTTACTGTTTAGAACTGGAAAAGAAAGAGAGGCACTTTGAAAGGTGGTTTTTCTAGGGGCTCTTTGCTGGGAAGACTTTGCATCCTCAGGACCAAAGATGAAACACGAAGTCCACTGCCACGTGGTTCTTCTCACTCAAATCCCCTAGGGCCGCCCGCCAGCCTTCCCTGGGACAACTTGGCGGGCGCCTACCCTGGGCAACAGCTTTCCCCACCCCGGTCCGCGGAGCCGGCCGCACTTAGTGGGTGCTGTTCGGAGCTCGGGGCTGCGCGCTGGGCCGGACTCCAGCCTGCGTTCGGGACTGCAGTCGGGTCGCCGGGGAGTGCTGAGCCCGCCCTTCTTCCTGTTCCCAGGAGGCGGAAGACGGCTTCTTTCCCTTCGAAGCTTTTTTTCCTGTCCCTTGTGCCTTCTCTCGGTTCTCGCTCCACCCTCCACCTACTCTCCCCCAAATTTATTCTTCAACTTTGGGTGAACTTGGCCAGCATCCCGCGTCTCCGATAGGGTTGCCTAGTAACTGGTGCACACACACCAGCCTGCACCAGGCGGGGAGGTGGGGCGGGGGGAGTGAACTGGCCGCTCCCGGCCCTAGGAGCCCGCGGATTGGGCGCGCATTACCTCACATACCACCCCTACCCCTCACCCCGGTGCTCCGGCGATCCTGATACCGACTGGCCCCCAAACTCATCTCCATCCTCCCTCCCCTCCGCTCCTGGGCCCGGGGCTGACGTCAAGGGAAGGAGGTAGTGAGGTAATGAAGGAAGGAAAAGCCTCTGCCCTGGGAGATTGGGTGGGGGGAATGGCCGCGCCTGGGGGACCTTCAGTCCCACAGGTGGAGGAGGGGAAGGAGTCTTGGCTCCCCACCCCGCAGTGGCGCCTCCGAAAGGCCTGGCGCGCTCATGAAATTGAGCCCGGTACTGGTCTGATTCTACTGCCCCGGGGGAGGTAGGACCCGAGCCCCTTCCACTTCTGTACGCCTGAGCTGCGCCTGCTTTGGAAACTTTTTCTTTTGATTGAAAAATTCAGCGTATCTAATAGAATCTTGGATTTGAGATCACTTTTTTTCTTTTTCCTCCTCTCCCTTTCCCCCCCATCCCTCTCTTCACAGACAGAGATAGAAAGGTCACAACTCATCACCCTCCTTTTCTCCCTTCCTAGCTGGAACCCAGCTCTGTTCTTCAGCATTGCAGGCCCAGTGTTCTGCTCCAAGCCCAGCTTCTCTGCCTCCCCTCCCTGAGTCTGGTCACTGGGATGGATGCAGAATCCCCAACCATTCTCTATTGTGATCCTCCTCCCTTAGCAAAACGAGTGGAAGTGCCCTCCCCCTCCTTTTTGAGGAGCTGCTCCTGCCCATTGCCAGAGTGACCTTGCTATTGTTCTAGTAGCCTTTGGGGAGCAGTTGGAATGGCTCCCCAGTGGCCTGTTCTTCTCTCCTTGATGCCTTCTTGGTGCCTCACCCCAGGTGGAGAGGAAGACTTTGATGCTGAGTGGGTGCTGTTTAGATGGGCCCGGATACCACCTGGGAGATGGGGGTTGGGAGGCCATTGGAGTCTGGGTCAGTGGTGATACACAGCTCACACACATTTCTTTCTTTTTTAAAAAAATTTATTGATTGATTTTAGAGACAGACAGACAAAAACATCAATTTGTTTTTCCACTTATTTATGCATTCACTGGATGATTCTTGTATGTGCCCTGACCAGTGATCAAACCCACAACCTTGGTGCTTCAGGACAATTCTCCAACCAACTGAGCTACCAGGCCAGGGCCTTACTCACATTTCTTATTCTCCTTTCTCTTAAGCATAAATCCACCTTGTGGGACCCTAGGAAAGGGCCCATCAAAGGGACTGAGCCACCTGAGGGACTGAGCCACCCAGAAAGAAAAGGAGTCAGGGATAAAGTGATCACACTCACTCAAATAGCAGTTCTCCAAACTGAGTCCCTAGGGGTGGATTTTGACTTAGGGCTAAATTTGTGATTACTATAGACGTAGGAAAAGTCACTTGAATTGCATTTTAGACATAAAATTTTCACATTTTTGAGACCCAGTTTGTACTTGGCCACTCTATAAAGCAATTTTGTCAGGTTCATCTTTGGGAAATATCTGTGTATCCCTTTTTTTCTTCCTACATAATTACAACGCTTTGCTTCTCATTTTATTTTTTATTTTTTTATTTTTTATTTTTTTTAAAATATGTTTTATTGATTTCTTACAGAGAGGAAGGGAGAGGGATAGAGAGTTAGAAATATCGATGAGAGAGAAATATTGATCAGTTGCCTCCTGCACACTCCCTACTGGGTAGGTGTCTGCAACCAAGGTACATGCCCTTGACCAGAATCGAACCTGGGACCCTTGAGTCCACAGGCTGACGCTCTATCCATTGAGCCAAACCGGTTAGGGCTGCTTCTCATTTTTAAATGAATGTCACAAAAATACCATTTTCTCCCATTACAGAAAATTTCCTAAGCAGTAACATCTCCTAAAAAAGAATTTGTGACCCCAGTAGGAAAAGAGCTTGCTCCCTTGAAGTTTGTACTATCTGAGTCTTTGAGGCTCCATCCACCGTAAAGTCACTATTTTTCTAATCACTTTCAAGGATCAGGTACTTCAAGCTGAAGTACATGTAATCATATACCCTGTTACAGTAGTTGTGTAAACAAGTATTTCACGGTGTCCTCAGTACCTCGTTTCCATCCACCTATGTTGATCAAGGGACTCTCCAGGTATTGAAGTACTAAAGCAGATGATAATTAGATATCGTGAAAAGAAGCCTTCGAGGTTTAGCATTGCCTAATTGATATTCAGTAAGCACTTAATAAATGTCAAGTAGTTATTGATAGTGTTTTTATTACTGCAACTGAGGCTGTACCTTCTAAGAGTTGGGTTCTTTTTTGGCTATTCTTGAAAGAGTTGAGGTCTTTCTCCTTGGGCTGTCACCAGCTGGGGAGCACTGTGTTTCCTTAGTGTGCCCTTTTCACAGAAACACCCTGGTGGTGCCTCATGTAGCTTATCTTTCTTTTTCCTCAATTCTCTGGATGGATGGCTTGGGAAGAGAGAGCTGTATAGGCATCTTACATGTCACTTAAACAAATTGCTTTAAAAAATTATCTGGAGTAATGATATCTGATATGTCAAGACTAACTATGGAGAAATGTCTATCAGTGTTTTATAAGCTTAATCAGACAAAATAAGCTGGATTTGTTTTGTCTAAATGAAAAAAAAAATGATCAGGTGCTTCCCCGGCAGTAATGATGAATGGACAGGTGTAGGGTTATTTTAAAATTGGGTCTGTGCATCGACATCACTGCAGTTATGCCATTTTTTTTTCTTTTCTACTCCTTAAAAAAGTTTGAAGGGGTATTTAAATGCGTTTGGGAACACAGTGTGTGAAAAAGCATGGAAAGTAGGACTAAACTCGAATCACTTAATAACTTAACTTTTGGATTTTTGAGATTCAGTGGTGCTTTTCTGTCTAAAACTGGGACCTCCTGGGAAAGGCTTGTCCTATTTTGTTTGCTTCATTGCACTTGACCCTTTGGGGCAGCCTGCCCAGCTTCTTCCCCACTCCTCTTCCCAAAGTTTTGTCTCCCCACTGTTGGATTCAGTCTCCCTTCCCAGCATGAAGTAAAGGTAGTGGCACATATACGGCCATTAAATAAGCAGCAGCACACTTTCCCAGGTAAAACATACCTGAGGAGTTACAGCTATATACATTTGTGTGTAGGTGCAAACAGCAGTGAGTAGAAAATGCCCTCAATCAACTTATGGAAAGTGATTAGGAGATGGTTTCCCCTTCCTCCTTGCCCACTCTACCAAGTTGAAGATGGGTAGAGTTTTGTCTAAAGGCCACGAAAGCTTATGAAACTAGATTTCAGCCCTTGGGGAAGCCAATGGTCATAGCTGGGTGAAAGCGCGAGTCCCTGTAACATAGTAACTGGGATTTATTACTGCATGCTGACTCGGTACTGCTGGGCATTGTGCTAAGTGCTTCACTCAGTTCACTCACTTAATTCTTCTGGTTATTCTATGAGGTAGGTACTAGGGAGGAAATACGCGTAGAGACTAGAAGTAACTTGCCCAGGGTCACATAGTGAGTGAGAATCAGAATCAGGATTTGATCCTCAGTGTCCCTGACTTCAAAGCCCATCTGAGCTCTGCATCACCGAGTTGTACCAGGCCACTCCACCTGGAATATTCCCCTTATAAAGTCCATGCTTTTGCTAATAAATAGTAATAGCAAGTGCTTATATACACTTACTTCATCCAGGCACCATTCTAAGCACTTTACAACTATTGACTTACCTAATCACATGAGAACTCTTTGAGTTATCCCTTTGAAATTATCACCCCCACTTCAGAGAGGAAGAAACAGGCCCTGGGCGATGAATTTGCCCAGTGGGACACAGTAAGGGACAGAGCTGGTGTTCAAATTCAGGTAGGGAGGCTTCTGAATCCATGCTCCTACCCACTGCACCCGCCCTGCTGCCTCTCCTGATATGTAAGTGCCATTCCTGCTCCAAAGTGGCATCTGCCCTGGGTCTTGCTAGACTCCTGGGGGTCAAACGACCCTTT